GGGTGTGGTGTGGTGTGGGGAAGGGTGGAGGGTGGGGATGGTTTGGGGGCACTCAGTCTCTAAAAGGTTTGCCATCATTGCCTTAGATGGTTCTTTGGAGAACAGGCATTTAGCTGAGTCTTATCCTTAATCTCCACACCCTTCTGTAGTTTCACCAGCTGACTAATTTCTCTCTGTGTTGTCTTGATCTTAGCAGCCAACCTCATTTTCCAATGGGGTGGAGAGATGTACTGCTGTTCCCCAGGATTACATGGCTGTAGTGTATACCAGTTCATTGGTTTGAGTTATGATGATAGTAGGGATTGTCATGAGGGCTCTACTGGCATCTTCTAGGATAACATTTGATGGTACATCTCCACAGCATCTTGGTAATTGGTCTTGAGGGTTGACTGTAGCTTGATCTTATGCTTCATATCGACTGCTATGCTGTGTTATGGAAGGATGGCAGTGATGTTCCACTGTCAGGTATTGGCTGCGCGTTCACTTGTTCTTCCTGGTNGAGAGAGAGAGAGAGAGAGAGAGAGAGAGAGAGAGAGAGAGAGAGAGAGAGAGAGAGAGAGAGAGAGAGAGAGAGAGAATGTATATATGTATCTACTTTGTATGTGTATGTGATTGTGTAAAATATAATTTCTATGTTATGTATATTATATATGATGTATGTGTGTGTATATTTATAGATATGGTCTACATATGCATTCATATGCATTTGCACTCTTTCTCTCTTTTTATATGGGCAAGAATAAAGAAAGTTTTACCAAAAAGTCTCTTGTCTAGAGATCAATGACATTCCAGAAATCTGAGGACTGCTCATCAATCCTTCCAGGCAAGCAAAACTGTTATATTAAGGGACTGTGTTCAATTAACCTTTGATGCCTACATCTACTCTAGACAATGCCTGTGCTAAATATGCCTATCCACTGAAACAGCTCCCGCCCTCCCACAATAACATATTGCTATTTGTTTTCAGTTCCCCAAACAGTGAGAAGTTCCAAGGACACTGTGTAACAGGGTCAGACTTCCTTTGCAAGAAGAGATCATTGGAAATTTATGATATTTTGTAATATTTGAATTTGTTTTCCACATGTTGAAAACAGTGGAAGCAAGTAGCGCAGTAGCAGTTCTTGCAATACAAAAGTCCCAGATCCCTATATTTGAGGATATAGAAGAGCCCCCGAAAGTGACTTCAACTCGGTTTATAGAGCAACCACGCAGTGTCGTCTTCATTCCCAGTCTCAAAATTCTCTTTAAATCCTTTTTTCAGCTTCTGAGATGAAATGTTCTGCCAACAAGTTTCTTTGTCATCATGCCCAGTGGAAGAGTGGACTTCCCTGGAACTGGCACCTACGTTGTTTTTCTCTGATGATAGCAAAATTATTTCTGTTCTCTTGAGGATTTCATATGTAATTTCAATCTTGCAGTGTTTTCTATTGCATTTGTTATTTTCTGGTCTTTCATTTAATTATATTTCAGTGCTCATATTTTCATTCTTTTATTCATCTTACAGATTTCTTTGAAACTACAGTTGAAAGATGGAAAAATATTTACAATAAATATTTATTGGGAATTTATATATAAATAATAAGGAATGCATTGCTACTGATCATTAAGATAAATCACCTAGCTGTTAACCTTTTTTTAAAATTATTATTAAGAAAGAATATTGATAGCATGGCATGAAGTTGCCAACTTTTGTAATGATGCTGTCAATCTGAACCTAAAGGGGAAAAAAATATAATATCTCATTGTAAAATAAATAACCATCCTAGTCAAATTTAAGGTTAAGCAGAATGCAGATCTTGTCATCTTTGTTGTTACATATCAGGAAATGAAGTTTGGTATCAGTTAATAATCCTTATTTTTATACACTGTTTTGCATAATAGCAATTAGATGAAGACATAGTTTCTTATTCTAATGAGGCAGTTTCCATTGAAATAAAGTATAATGGGGAAATAACCCAATAATATAATGTGGAACCCGTAGAATTTCTAGTATTACGGGACAATAATTTCTATCAACCCCCAATCAGTACACCAATGATAAGGGAGGCTGAGAGTTAACTAATGTCTGGAAGAACACAGATCTCCTATCTTTGGTCAATTCAGATGACAGTTTTACAAGCTTTGAGGCATAAGTCATCGCCTAACATGACTTTTTACACTAGAGATGCCAGGGAGTTCCTCAAACCAAGAGAAGGCTATTTTCTCTAGTTATTAGCACAAAGGAGCTGGAATATGTTTTGTTCTAGTGACAAAAATTAGGGGTTCCTCACTTCATTCCTTTAATGCTATTTTTCTCATTTGCACATTATTCATAAAACAATGTTGATCTTTTCAAATATCGTTGCTATTTTAAGAATTTTTTTTTTATGTATACTGGTCCATTAGCTGCTCACTGGCTGGTTTAAATCCAACTGGCATATTAAAGGTTTATTAGTCAGATTTTTAAAGGCGATGTCCTACATATGTGTGGGCTGTCAACTCACATAAGTCAAATCGGCAGGGATGACATGAGCTGCAATCCAATTCAAATAAGTGGCATTCCCTTGAAGAACATTGATATAACTGGTCCTTAACGTGCTCACTTGGTGAAGTTGCCAAGGCATCTTGAAATCATTAAAGGTAAAAGATGTTGCACATATGAAACATTTCAAAAGACTACCTGCTTTTTGAATGATACAATGAGGTTACAATAAAAAATGGAAGAAAGACAAACCCTGGATGATGGTAGTTTTTTTAAAATTGAACTTCATTTTATTTTAAATGCAATTCATATCATTGCAATTTTTCTGCTTCACAAAGTTCCTTCTTCTCACACTAAAAATTACAATGCTTGAAAGAAGTATTGACCTATATTTCAAATCCCAAGAACCACATGTTATGAATCTCTCTTTTATTGGTATTCCTACCAATATGAAACAGAAGCTCAATCCTGATTGTTTATGGCATCCTATATTGCAATATCCCAAACAGGACCATACATTTGGAATTTATTCTTATAATAGTGACATGTGATCTGAAAATGGAGGACACAGACATCAATTTGTGGTCAAACTTCTCTTCATTGCTCTCCCTGACTTCTGTAGATATAGTAGACCAATTAAGATGGTCCATCTCAGGTGTCTGAGAGATCCAAATTAATTTTCCATCTGGTTGCCAGGTGGAAAAAGAAGATGGCTAAGGTGTTGGATGTAATTGCTCCTGAGGAGTTTTCCATCAGTTGCACATCCAAGGAGCATCTTCGTTTCCAAGGAACTCCAGGAAATTATGTGAGTGAAGAGATGTGCAATGTAACAATAGTGAAAGAAAGGGCAAATCTTACTTGCTCTTTAAGATATAACCTCCTCTGCTGTGAACAAAAGAATGATGAAGCCTGCTTAGTTCTCTGCCACTTACTCTGCACTTACTGCATCCATAGATTTTCATTCAGTGGTTGTGTTCAGGAGAGTTCACTCCCTCTACACTACAGTGGTTCTCAACCTGTGGGTCGGGACCCCATTTGGGGTCGATCGACCATTTCGCGGGGGTCGCCAAGCAAGGCTGTCCACCATTTTTTTTGTCTGCCATTTTTTTTGTCCGCCATTTTTTCCCCCTTTTCCGGCGGGTGCCTTACCTCCCTTGGGCTGGGCCAGCTGGTGGTCGGCCTGCGCAGGGTGCGGAACCACGCATGCGTGGCGCTCCCGAGCAGGGAAAGTCCTCGACTTACGACCGGTTGGGTAGTCCTCGACTTACGACCGGTTTAGTCCTCGACTTACGATTGGTTTAGTCCTCGACTTACGACCGGTTTAGTCCTCGACTTACGACCAGTTGGGGTCACGGCATTAAAAAGGTTGAGAACTACTGCTCTACAGAAAGTTGGTGAGTTCAGCATCTTAACAGGCTGTTTTGTTGGTCTGCTACATTCTACATCGATAAAATCATAGATATTTACATGGAAATACAGAGAGTAAAGAAGAAAGGCAATATGAGAAAAATTCTTGGATCAAAATTCTTTTTTCTAAAAATTGGATAGACTACAACACAATGCTCTCTTTCTATCATATCCAGTGTATCTGTGTGCATGCATGTAAAACCAAGATACTGAGAAAATGATTTTAGTCTACTCTTCTTGGATCATTTTTAAAATACAGTCCTAATATACGTATTGAATGTGGTATTCCCAAGGTTTTTTTTTTGTTTTATATTTTCCCATGGATTGATTGGGATGTCGCTGTTGAAATTGTTATATTGATTATTTGCTTTTAATCTGAGCTTAATGTCAAGTGCCAGGGAAATCAGAAAATCCAGACAGTTCAAATGGGTATAAAGATTTATTGTAAGCTTGAGCTCTCTACAAGAATCTGAACTACTAACGGCCAAGGGAAATTAACGGGAGATAAGAACCAAAGGAATTCAAGGTGGGTAGGACCATGTGGGTCAGTCACTCTTGTGGGTGACTGATGACTCATTTGATCTCTCCCTCAGGCTCAGCCTGGTCATCTCCTACATCTACAAAGAAGGGAATTATATACTTCTCAAAGTTGGTTTTGCCTGGAAGATCTTATAAGTCTTGCAAATTGAAGTCTCTATGCCTGACATTAAAAATCTAATAATTGCTTTTAGTGGTCCCATAAACCTGACTCAGACTAGTATGTATGAAAAGCATGTATGTTTAACTCATAAGTGATCTCAGTCCCTTTTATACACATTAACAGCTGCTAATTAGTATGGAGCTGTGGTGGTAGAGTGGTTAGAATGCAGCATTGCAGGCTAACTCTGCTTACTGCCAGGAGTTCGATCCTGACAAGTTCAAGGTTGGCTCAACTTTCCATTCTTCTGAGATTGGTAAACTAAGGCCCCAGATTTTGGGAGGCAATATGCTAACACTGTAAACCGCTTACTAAAACACTATGAAGCAGTATATAAGTCTAAGTGCTATTGCTATTGCTGCTTTGTTTTCTTGAGTTAATATTTTTGATGGTTGTTTTTTTCTCTCTCTTTTTTCTTACTGTACTCTTTATAGGTTAAACCAAAGTTTGCGGCACAATGCACTGGGCTTCTGTTTTGATCCTAGTTGGCTTCTGTGGAATATCCTTGAGCCAATATGAAGATCACTACGAGGACATATTCTGGCTACAGCAATATTTACGCAGCCAATCTTCCTACAGCTATTCACCATATTACGAAGATGAGATTCCCCCCTATTCTTCTTACTCTTCTGAGCCAGTTGGATCCTATGTTGGAGAGCCTGTCCCTGAACCACCTGTTTCTAAGGAATGTCCTCAAGAATGTGAATGCCCCCCTCATTTCTCTTCTGCCTTGTATTGTGATACTCGAAATCTTAAGTATCTTCCATTTGTGCCTTCTCGGATGAAATATGCCTACTTCCAGAATAACCAAATTGTGGCAATCCAAGAGGGAGCCTTTGACAATGCAACCAAGCTCGAGTGGTTAGCACTGCACGGCAATCAAATAACCAGTGAGAAAATGGGCAAGAGGGTCTTTGCCAAGCTCAAGAATCTAGAAAGGCTGTACCTTGACCATAACAACCTGACCAAAGTGCCTCACCCTTTGCCACAGTCACTGAAAGAGCTTCACCTGGCTTATAATCAGATCTCCAAGATCCCATCCAATGCCCTTGAAGGCTTAGAGAACCTCACTGCCTTGTATCTCAGCCACAACCATATCCAAGAGATAGGATCAAATCTCAAGTGGTTAAACTCTCTGATCCTTGCAGATTTGAGCTACAATCACCTCACAAGAGTCCCTGGTGGGCTTCCAAGCTCCTTAGAGCAACTCTATTTGGAGCACAATCACATAAATACAGTCCCTGATGATTACTTCAAGATCTCCCCTAAATTGCTGTATGTACGAATGTCTCACAACATCCTGACAAATGAAGGTCTCTCCCCAAATGCTTTCAATACTAGCAGCATTCTGGAACTTGACCTCTCTTACAACCAGCTTCAGAAGATCCCACGAGTCAGTACAAGCCTTGAAAATCTTTATCTTCAAGGGAACAAAATAAATGGTGAGCTTTCGTATTCTGAACTATGAGCTAGTATGGGGTGGCATTGAAGCGGGATAGACTGGGTGGATAAGCTGTTGTGAAATGATCACAATTATGGTAGGTAAAAGAATATCAGCTGCTTTCTTGGATGCAATGTTCAGAAATCGTGGTACATTTATCCCACCTCTGCCTCCTTAATGGCTTTTCTTTGATAAAATCAAAGTACTAGGAAAACATGGGGCATTTGCAAATGAAAGAGAGACTGGAGGTTACTAGACAGAGGTGCAGTCTAATTTTGATATGAGATAAGGCTTGTTATATGAGCAATTGAAATATATTTCAGTTGTTCCTTGTTACGGCAATGAGTAGAGAAGGAAGATTACCCCCAAAGTTCCTGTTGCAGAAAGTGGTGCCTGAAACCTGATGCTTTGTTCCTGAGAACTTACAGCATTCTCACAAAGCAGCCTAAAGAGCAGGGGGGGAGGGGAGTTGGCTGCTGGTTGTGAACCCAAAGGGGGCATCCAGCAAAGCTGCTGGAAGCTCTTGAAAATTGACAATCAATTTGACTTTCTCCTCTACTGGAAGTTTTTCCCATATGATAATGAGGAAGAAAAGGGGGCAGTTCTCCTATCCTTAGTTAGAAAGTACATTAAACAGCCTGGAACAATTTGGGGAGGGGGAGGTGTTTTAAAACAGATTCATAAGGACATACTTCTCACTCACACAACTGCCCTTTTTTTCCCCCTTGGGGAGAAGAAAACATTTTCTCTTTAATTAGCCACTGTTTTGGTTAAAGCACAAAATGACAGTACAGGAAATTGAAACCAGAAAGCAACGGGGTCAATTCCTCTCTTGTTTTTTCAGTTTAAGGAATATTCTATGTTCTCCAAAGTCTGCAACAGATAGTTCTCAATTTACAACCATTCATTTGATGATCATTCGCTACACTGATGATGTTACCTAGTTTAGTAATGGAATGTCTGCAAGAAAGCAACAAAGTTCAGAGAGCACCAAGGTCCCCAAAGTTATAATGGTTCTTGCACTTACGACCATTGCAGCCTCCTCATGGTCCATGATCATAATTTAAATGTTTGGCTACTGGTGTGTATTTACGAAACTTGCAGTGCCCTGGGGTCATGTGATCACCATTTGCAACATGCCCAGCCAACTTTTGACAAGTGAAGTTAAATGAGGAAAGCTGGCTTCACTTAATGACTGTGTGATTCATTTAACAACTATGGCAAAAAAAGGTTTGTAAAATCAGATGCAATCGTATGATGGTTTACTTAACAACTGCATCGCTTAGTAATGGATGTTCCGATCCCAATTACAGTCATGAGTCAAGGACTACCTTGACATACAACCATAATGGAGTTTGGCTATTATGGTCATATGTCACAATAGTCATGGGACCAACCCAAATTTATGACCTTTTGGTGGCAATCATTAAGTGAACATAGCAATAACACTTAGACTTATATACCGATCCAAACAGCCCTCTACAGCCCTCTCTAAGCAGTTTAGAGAGTCAGCATATTGCCCGCAACAATCTGGGTCCTCATTTTACCGACCTTGCAAGGATGGAAGGCTGAGTCAACCTTGAGCTGGTCAGGATCGAACTCCTGGCAGTGAGCAGAATTAGCCTGCAATATTGCATTCTAACCACTGCACCACCATGCCTCTCTTGCTTTGCTTAACATAAGAGTTAAGCAAATGCTAAAGTCATTAAGCAAGCTAACACCATTGTAAAATGTAGTCACATGATAGTAAAATACTGCAAGTGGCCATAAATGCAGCCACAATGCTGAGTGCCCAAAGTTCAGTCACATGATTGCAAAGGTAGCCTGACCATTGGAACTTCAAATCCAAGTCATACGTCTCCTTTTTTTGGGTCAGTCATAACTTCTAATGGTCACTAAACGACCGATTGTAAGTCAAGGACTACCTGTATATTTAAATAGGCCCTTCATGAGAAGGAGGATGGCTAAGAATGAAGGAATCAAAGAACAACAGATTTGCTGTGGGCAAGAGAAGCTATTTTCCATCAGCCAATACCTCTGACACAAGAAAAGGTCATTCAACATCACTGTCATCAGAAAAGAAACACAACTGGAAAGAGGGGGAGCAGAGTTTCAAAGTAATACAGACCGTGTAGTTCCTGATACTGCTACTCTAATGTGTTGGAAGGCAATACTCATTTTCTTCAGCCATTTAAAATTCTTTTGATATTTGCTAAGATCAAAGTAACCGTTGATATCCAGTGGCAGGTTTGCTTTAAGGGGAACTATAGTTTGACTTTTTAGCACTTAGCATTTTATGACATAATTCCAGTCATCGTGTATACCAGTGACATACTCCTATTTCAAAAAGAAATTAGTGTAGGTAAAGAAGTTTTTTTAAAAAAACAATGCTTAGTAGCTAAAAAGGACTGGATTCTCTTATGATGGGTGAATTAAGTAAGTAAAAATGACAGCATAAGTAGAAGCAAGATAAGAAAGAGAGCTAAAAGTCTAAAGTTATTTCCTAATCTTAAAATGATTAATGTTCAGTGTATAGTCCATTCATTTTTTTTCACTGATCAATGGTGGCAAACATTAGAAAGATCAAGTTAATAACACACTGTGATCTTTCTGACATAGTTTTGAGTGTTATCATATGTTGGTTTAATAGGAAACTCCAGGAATGCAAATGAGATTTACACCAGATTAAGAATGTGTTAAGAATGTGTTATATCTATTTGTCTGAGAATAATCTTTACTAAATTCAAATGGAGCTTTAAATATGCATGTACAGAGCTCTGTTAACTGTTTTTAAATATTGTAACTGCTTTGAAATTCTGATTGGAATAACATTTTATAGGCTTGATAAAAAGGATTCTTGTAGAATGTTTGGCTCTGTATAAATGAGATACCTACAACAGGTAAAAAACAATAATTTTGAGTTGGAGAAAATATTTGGTTAAGTTGCATTCCAAGCTTAGTGACAAATCCGCCATAGGCTGTGGGTCTCTTGCACCTCTTGAAGAAGAGACAGCAGTCTGGCTTGTTTTAATTATTTCTTTATCTCTAACTGAGGCTAACATAAGGTTATTTACTACTTTGCCTTATAAAGGCATATCAAGTATAGCTTCATTTACTTGAACTCTGACCCCTGGGAGTTCAGCATCTTTTTTCCACTGTCCAGATCATTTGGACACTCCTGTTCCCCTGTTGCTAATTATAGTTGTGTCTCAGTGATTCCAGTACAACCAAAATAGTTAAACACCACCACCACCACCCCCCGCAAACCAGTGGTGGGATTCAGCCAATTCGCACCACTTCGGTAGAACCAGTAGCTAATTTTTTTGTTGCCCAGGCCCAGAATGGACTTCCGGAAGCGGCATCCACACAGAGAACCGGTTGTTCACATATTTGAATCCCACCACTGCCGCAAACCCCTGCAAAGTAGCTCTAGTACCTTGCACTGGATCACTGGGGGGGGGGTGAGAAAGAGAGAGAGAGAAAAAAAAGTTAAAGGCTTTCCTGCTGCGAGATCATCCTTGTTCAGTTTGTGTGTATGTGTTTGAATGCTTATGTGGAAAAAAGGCGAGAAATCAAGAGAGAGAAAATAAAAAGTGTATTAATAGATTTATATTAGTGTGACAATGGGATTATGTACAAATGTGTATATCTGTGAATGTGAGATCTGAGTGCACAAGATCATATGTTTTACATGTAGCACACGAGATTTAATCCTGGCTCTGTCCACTGGAATACAGCCCAATCACCACCACGTCATTTACCCACTCCTGGTATATTGTTAGGCGGATAAGCCAAAATAAGCCGTACGTTCACAGAGAAGGTGAGAAAATCTGAAGCTTGAGTTTGCCGAGTCCCATTTTATCTAAACAAAGGAGATTATAGCATATTCTTAGTGTAATTAGTTGATAAAGCAAGACTTCAAACTAATTATGGACCGTAGAAATCAGTTTCAATGTATTTTTTAACAAACTGTACTCAGAAGCATTTCTATCCATCAGGAAGTACAAAAGCCTGAAGCCAATATAAGAATATCCTTTTAACATGCAATCATCTTTTACAATTACAGATGTCCTAGCACAAATCATAGCACAATCACACTGCAATTTTTGCTGGTTTTAGAAAACCACCTTTCAAAAATTCAATGAGATAATCATTAGCTAAATCTTAAACTGATGGCATAATTCAGATTCTTCTTCTAAGGATTATAACTTCTAACCAGTGGAACTTCTATCCACAATTTGTGAGATCCTTTGCAGGTAAATTGAAGATTAGGGACGTTTTACATCAGAGGTCTGTCTGCACCAGTCCCTGTCAAAGATCCAAAATGTAGCACAAGATGCTGACAAAATCTTAGACGTATCATTAGAATTTATCAAGATCTCTCACTATATCCCCCCCCTTTTTTAATTTGGGTACGCTTGAGTGCTGAGTAGGCATTCTGTGGCAACCTCTAACTAAGCTTTCATTTCCAGAGTGGCACCAGCTCTAAAATAAAGTCTTTTTACCCCAAATCACTTTGGAGTTATTCCCACGTCTTTGCTGATTATGAATTTCATTAACTGTGCCCTCCTAGTTTTTCTTGGTTCTCACCTGTTGTATTTATCTATGTATGTATGTGTAATTTTTATTCAAGAATTTAAAAAAAGAAAATGAAAAAGTAACACAACTAATAGAAAATAAGAAAAAAAATGAAAAAAGCTAAAAATGCAAGAAAGGGAAAAACTAAAATAAAAGTAGAAAAGAAAGAAAGGGTATACAAAAAAGTAGCTTCAATTCATCCTGAAAGCAGTAATAAGTACAATTATAAACTTGCCTCTTATTCTATGGCAGGGGTCTTCAAACTTGTCCCTTTTATGACTTGTGGACTTCAACTCCCAGAATTCCTCAGCCAGCATGCTGGCTGAGGAATTCTGGGAGTTGAAGTCTACAAGTCATAAAAGGGACAAGTTTGAAGACCCCTATTCTATGGTTACAACATCTCTCTCTTCTTTCTCTAATCTAGTTTGTCTAATCATCAATATTGATGTCTTTTGTTGTCTATTTATGTCTTTTCTAGAAGCAAAGAAGTCAATTCAGCCATCTTGGCAAATTCTACCATCTTTCCAACTATTCCTTCATTATCAGTAGTGCTGAATCTTTCCATCTTACAATAATCTTGCTGCGGTTGTCCTGTAGAAAACAAAGCTCATGACTTTTTTTTTCCCAACTGTTTTCCATCAATCCCAAAAGAAAAACCTTTGATCTCAATTGTATATCAATATTTAAAATCCTCTGAATCCATGTACCTGTTGCATTTATCAGGTTTACGCCTGTCAGGGTCTAAAAAGGTATCATCAAGTCAGGGAGAAAGTTAAGACAGCTTTGCCAGTTTCAAACTTTTCTTCAAATCTCTGGCTCTTTGTGACAGACAATTAAATTGTTTCTCCAGATTCCTTTTTTTGGATTCCTTCATTTTTCAAGGAGTTCTGTAGTTAACCTTTGAAGTATTTTTAACATTTTTTTCATAAGACAGATGCTTTTTTTTTCTTCCCCAAAGTAAAAAAAGAAAAACACCAGAACAAGAAGACACAGGAGCAAAATTAGTGCTGCGTATAGACCTGAAAGTTGCTAGACTTTTAAGGTAATGCGGACTTTTATCTCTTACGCAGAATCTTTTTTGTTGTTGTTCTTTAGGCCTTTCAAATGAAAAATAGTCAATTTTCTTTCACCCATTTTCATTTTGACTCATCTGCAGAGTTCAAACTCTAATCTCAGCTAAGACGCTGAATTGAAAATTTGAAGGCTAGAGACAAAAAAAATAGTCCTTTCAGAAGGATGAAGGCATTTTGAAAACAGCACATAAGTGCTTTTTGTGCTGCAAATACTGTAGGATACTACTGTGGATTCGGGCAAACAGGCTTTGCAGGCAATTTGTTTCCAAAAATCAGCCAGAACCATTTGGCCCAAGGCCTGTAATACTGCAAAAATACAGCAGTGTGTAGCAACTCAGGCTCCAAAAACTCTCAGCTCTCTTAAAAAGGAATGCCTGCTTCCCATTTCAGACCTTTTCCCAACTCCTGCATATCATTGCGGGCAACAGAGGCTTAACAGATGGTATGAGTTACTATTCTACTTTCTCTGGTGATTCTATAGTAACATGCAGAGTTCTGCACATACACTAAAATAACAGCAGTTTGATAAAATAGAATTGGGAACTTGTTTCATTGGTGTTTTTACACATCCCATTACAGTTTACTATGGAAGCAAAAAAAAATTGCTCTACTTCAATATGCCATTATAAAGCAAATTGAAGTTATAATATTCCCACTCCTGATGACTGCTGCTCTTCCTTACGTTTTACCTTTTAAATATGTTCTCAGTTTTGAATGTTGCTGCTTTGACATGCAGCTGATGGTCTTTCTTTTAGAAACCATTCAGCCATCATGTAGTCAATGTGGTTTGACTACCGAATGATATTTAAAGGACAAGTGAGGTTTCCAGGCCATGGCATTGGTTTATCTTCACTAGAACCATGATGAGGCCAAGATTGGCTTGACTATTTGTAGAAAGTGGAAGGCTAAAGATCGGTAAAGCATATTTCATTCTTCCTCTTCATTACCATCAACAACAAATAACTTTTTTACCTAAGTCAAATTTAAATGTAAAAAGAATGTAGCAGAATTAACCTACACACTGACTGATTTATACAATACAAAGGGATTGGAGGTTAGAGAATAACAGAATAGCAGAGTGGGAAGGGACCTTGGAGGTCATCTAGTCCAAGCCCCTACTCAAACAGAAGACCCTATATCATGTCAGATAAATGGCTGACCAATGTCTTCTTAAAGCCTCCAGTGATGGAACACCCACAACATCTGAAGGCAAACCATTTCACTAATGAATTGTTCTCACTGTCAGGAAATTTCTCCTTAATTCTAGGTTGCTTCTCTCTTTGATAAGATTCCATCCATTGCTTCTTCAGATGCTTTGGAGAATAGGTTGACTCCCTCTTCTTTGTGGCAGCCCCTTAGATATTGAAAGATTATTATCATGTCACCACTAGTCCTTCTCTTCATTAGACTAGATATATAGGTAGTCCTTTAGTGACCATCTGAAATTACAATGGCAATGAAAAAAGTGACTTATGACCATTTTTCACACTTATGACCATTGCAGCATCCCCATGATCACGTCATCCAAATTCAAACACTTGGCAACTGATTCATATTTATGATGGTTGCAGTATCTCTATATCACCCTTTGCAACCTTCTGCCAAGCAAAGTCAATGGGGAAAACAGGTTCACTTAACAACCATGTTGACAACTGCAGTGATTCACTTAACAACTGTGGCAAGAAAGGTCGTAAAATGGGGCAAAACTCACTTAACAACTGTCTTCCTTAGCAACAGAAATTTTGGGCTCAATTGTGGTCGTACATTGAGGACTACCTGTACCCAGTTCCTGCAATCCTGTGAGTTCTAGTCCCACGTTAGGTATGAAGGCAGCTGGGTGACTTTGGGACAGTCAGCCTTAGGAAGGATTCACTGGCAAATCATTTCTGAAATCTTAGCAAGAAAACTGCAAGGATTTGTCTACCCAATTACCAGGAATCAAGCTTGATTAAGGGTAGAATCTGTTTCAAATAACTAGGCTTTGAATGCCCTCTGGCTGCTTAAAAGGAACAATACAACTTATTTCCTCCAGCATATATCTATCTATCAATCTGCCTTGGAAGCCTTCAGAATCTCACTGTAAGAATAATCACTTAAGAATGGCAGAGAAGAAAACAAGACTAGTTCTTAGACAGAGAGCTTCTGGGTTACTTTTATTCTTCAAGATCTCTGTGATCTTTGGGCAACACAATACATGTATCTCCCAATTACTTATGAAGTTTATGCAGTAGCCATCAACATTAGTAGTATAGCATAGGTCCGGGGTCTTCAAACTTGTCCTTTTTATGACTTGTGGACTTCAACTCCCAGAATTCCACAGCCAGGTGCCTGGCTGAGGAATTCTGGGAGTTGAAGTCCACAAGTCATAAAAGGGACAAGTTTGAAGACCCCTGGTATAGGTTACTGATAGATTAAAACCACAAAGAGATTCTTGCCCAAATAATTTAAAAACTAAAACCAATCCAAAAGAAAATAGAAGAGTAAATGAGAAAATAATAAATTATTTAAAACTCTGAGGTTTTTTTTTTCATGGAAGTACTCTAATAAAACACTGCTCCCACAATATATCACTTGATCTAAAACAGGGGTTTCAAACTGCCGGCCCGCGGGCTGGATGCATCATAGCGAAACCGGACCCACCCTATTATCAGCAATGGCAAAAAAAAGTCACAATATGTCGCGATATGTCATGTGACGTTGCGAGTTTGACACCCCTGATCTAAAAGAACAAGAAGTTTCCCACTAAATTATTTATTTCTCCCCAGAACCCAAGCTACGCACAAAATGGCTTTTCAGTAACAGCTCCAAAGCCTGACTGCTGCCTAGCTCAATTTTCAGGTCTTAAAGTAAAGCTTGTTGATTTTCTTCTTTTCATTTTGTCCCCCTCGGTTTATTTAAATGGTATTTTAAATTACCTCTGACCCATTGTGGTGATAGTTTCTTTCAACTTTGGTTTTAAATGGATTTCTTGTAATTTTAATATTCTTTTCTTAATTATTTTCATCAGCTTTTTTGAATGCTTCTTAGAAATTCATGGCCTATTTCTGATTTGACAAGTGATAAAAACGATCTTGGAATAATACCAGTGTTTTTTAACCTTGGCAACTTTAAGATATGTGGACTTCAACTTCCAGAATTCCCCAACCTGTCTATACTGTGGCCACAAAAACAGGGCTAAATCCAGGTAGTCACCAGGAGTCAATTTAACTCAAAGGAGATTTTTACTTTTACATCGTATGAAAATTGTATATGATGACCTAAAGGCTGCCTTTAAATTTTCAATTCTATGTTTGTGATAAAAGCCTTCCATTAAATTTAACTTATTTATTTAGACATGCTTTAGTCACCTATTAATAAGAATTGCTTTGAATAGGTAGATTAATACCATTAAAGGAAAATGGCACAATTCGGCTTTCATGATGAAAATAATTATAAAAGAAAATTATCCTAGTCTCAGATTTTTGGGATTTATAATGGTATATTATACAATTCAAATAATTTTTCTATGATTCCATGAAAATGGTTTAAATGTTAAAATCCTAGCTACCTCCAACTTTGCAGCTAGGGATGCACTGCTTAGCCCAATAAAATCTGGATCAGAAATGTTATTATTACATGAAAAATAGAGCTATCGTATTTGGGCTGAAAATGCTGACTAACCTCTAGATGGCAACAAAGATATACACTGACCTCTTTTCTGCCATCTGATGGTCATCCAGACATATGCAGCCTAAATCTTGCAGCAATAGTTAAAGGCCAGCCACAGCTCATTTTATATTTGTTGCTTCTTCAATCTCTACCCAATACATAGGGAGACTAGTAATCTTACCTTACATCACAGCCCACAATGCCATTGTTGCCTTGCAGACCTACTGGACCTCAAGGTCTAAAATACGCAAAGAGAATGTCCAAAATCCATACTGGCTTAGGGAATTTTGAGGCTTAACCCAACAGTTCTGGAAGGCATTAGTTGAGGAATGCTGATTTATGTCTTTAGAGTAACTGAAACTCCCTTTGAACTAGCTAATCCCTGGAGTTACATATAGGGGATCCGAGCTAATGAGATTTGCCTTTGTTGATAAGAATGTAATACCTAATTCTTAAGCTACATAAAAGAAAAGTGTAAGAGACACATAATTCTTTCTTTTTGTTCCCAGAATTCAACATCAAGAGTTTTTGCAGCTTCGTAGACATCATGAATTTTTCCAAGCTACAAGTCTTGAGGCTGGATGGGAATGAGATCCGTCGCAATCATTTGCCCTCAGATGCTCCACTATGCCTGCGGTGGGCCAATGTCATAGACATTTAACTACTTCACTTGTTTCTTTCCTTAGACCGCCTCCATCATATGAACAAGGCTAAATACCTCCTGAAATCCTATGGCACAATGAGGATTCTTCCTCACTTTTATTACTGCTTCATTTGACTGAGCTTCCTCAGTGGTATAATGTAGGAAGGATTGGTAACCTGATCACAGAGGTGTTGTTTATAATAGTCAATTTGGTAACAACAAATAGGCCATCCAAATCTTTGCTTACCTCTTTCCCATTTTCTCTCTACCATGCTATCCTTTTTTCAACAATCACTTACCCAGTTTTCATGACATGCTGTTGGATAGTGCTCATTCTCTTTGGTGAGCAGTACAGAAGTCTTTTTCTTTACAAGTGTTTCATGTGTGTAGCATTAGAAATTCAATGCCAGCTGGGATAACTTTGGGATTTAGTTTTCCATGTGGGTGGACAGCAATTAAAAAGTACTGTAGCATGTATGCAGTGGGAGTGGATAAGACTAAATCCAAGCAAAATGAAAACAGATTAAAGCATGGGTGTCAAACTCACCGCGTCAAGTGACCTGTCACGACGTATCGTGACTTTTTTTGTATTTCCGGTGCTGGGGTGGGCGTGGCCTCCACATGATGCAACTGGCTCGTGGTCTGGCAGTTTTATACCCCTGGATTAAAGGGTTGGCCACCCAACAAGGAACAATTAGAAAGATGAGTTAGGAAAACAGAAAAAAAAACAAAGCCAAGAGAGAAATCAGTAACAAGTTAGTTGACAGTATAACTCTCCAGGTTTTAGTTGCCAACTAAGTAGCATCGTTTTGTTTATTCTTCTTTCTTTTCCATTAGTTTTAACATACACAATACAACAACACACATTACCAGTGGGGAATCAAAACTCTAACAAGCTTAGCAACACATAAAAATTGCATGTTGAGCTAATCCTGATGCTATACAGCAAATGTCACCATTATGTTTCCAAACCCTAATAGATGCTTGTCATTTATAATAGTCATAATTTAGCCCCTAGAAAGACACAAATATAGTTTTGCACTTAAATAGTTTCAGCAAGACCCTTTCTCTCCATCTTTTTTCCATTCTTACTTTGCTCTAATGCTCCCATTTAATCTCTTAATGTTCTGCAGTCAGTGCTGTTGTAGCAGAAGGACTTTAAGTAATATTTCCGCCTCCGATTGCACTTAGAGAGATTAAAAGAAGTAACAGAGACGTCAAACCTAACATTTTCTCACAGTTTGAGGGCAGCCTTATAGGAATAGAAAAGCTTCATTCATATCACATCCCGGAGGGGTGGAGAGAAAGAGTATCCTTTTCATTTTCAGGAGAAAAAAACATTTTACTATGTAAACATCTGATGGCATTGAGCCCCATTTGAGGCTTCCTACAACCTACAACCACCAGGTTTTTTTTTTTCCTTTCTTCTGTTATAGTGCAATGCAATTCATTACTCAATGCTTTCAGCATGCATATTTTATATTCCTTTCCATGTGCTGCTTGAGTGCATATAAACAATGCTACTGTTTGAAGGCATGTTTCTAAATAGTAATAAAATGCAATGAGAACCATAGGCATTAAAACAGTTGGTAAGACTCAGTATCATTCAAGCAAGATATTTAGTCAGCATATAATGAAGAATTGAGGGTTTTAGGCTTGTACTACTCTGTATGTTCCCATTTCAGCACAATAATCCAATAAAAGGTGCATCCTAAATCCTTGTTATAATAGCATTGCTTTCTTGGTTCCTGTAAGTCTAATTACATTTGCTGTAATTTGTTTGCTTGACTGTAGAATTGCCTGTGTTAAATTTCATGCATGTCATAGTACAGTACCAGCTATGGTGCTTTCATCTATCATCCACTGAGTTCTTTCATTTCCATAAAATTCATGGAGGGAAAAACAAGAACAAGGAAAAATTAGGTCTTGGGAGATTCTGAGACGCTCAAAATACCATCAAAACCTTTTTGTGTATGTAAAATGCATGCTGACAATATTTTAAAAATGTAGATGCATGAACTGTAGATACCATTATTGCTCAATAAAATCCTTTTTATAATTGCATGGAATGACTTGAAAACTACCAATTGTTGAGAGGAAGTCTGAAACATCTGGTGTTAGTGAATAATTATCAGGAATTAAATCCACTGTGGAGACATTTAACACTGCACTTTGAAAAGAAGGTATCTGCAAGGCTATTTAGGGGATCAGATCAGTGGTGGGATTCAGCCGGTTCACACCACTTCAGCAGAAGCAGTAACTAATTTTTTGTTGCCCAGAATGGACTTCTGGAAGCGGCATCCACACAGAGAATCAGTTATTCACATATTTGAATCCCACCACTGGATCAGATATGTTGATTTAGTGAATGAGTTCAGTAAATTAAACCAAGGTTTTATAAACTATGATTTTCTAGGTTCACACATTGTAAGTGTAAACAATGGCTAGGTTCATATAATATGCTAAGACACAAACAGACACAAACACAAAAACTCTTATTATGTTTGGCTCAGAGATCAGCAACCTTCCCAAGCAGAGGCCACCATTACATAGTTTTGCATGATACTGCAAGCACCAAATGATATAAAAGAAAAATAGCCGCTGGAATTTTGTGAGGCCTTATATGAGAACACAGGCACCATTGTGATTATTGGGAGATTTGGGGCATTTAAATTTTTCCCCCTATTTTGATGTGCAGTGGATTCTACATTGAGGTATCATAGATCCCCCAAATGCTTCACTTCTAATTTGATATATTTGCTTGGCTATTTTATTCTTTCCAGCCACTTGGGAATTAATGATCACCAAGCCTAAGTAAGATAAATGTTCTCAATTGTAGGAAAGGCTTCCCTCAGTAATATGTTCTGGGGAAAGCACTGGTTCTGCTTCTCATGCTTTAGCATTAATATTTGACTGCCAAACTGGATGGTTCAAGATAGATAAATCTTAAAGAGGATCAATGTAACCATTATGTTCATAAAACTCTGGTTCAAAAAGCCAGTCTTTTCCTTGAAATGTCACCTCCATTGGATTTCCAGGTAAGACTGTCAGTTAGGTGCTGCAAAAATCTGGACACTTATTAGATCACAGCAACGAGCTAAAATTCTCAGTATCTTTTCCATCTAGTGCAGTGATGGCGAACCTTTTAGAGACTGAGTGCCCAAACTGCAACCCAAAACCCACTTATGCATCGTCAAGTGCCGGGTGGGTGTGGCCCAGTGACTGGGTGTGGCCCATTGGGTGGGTGTGGCCCATTGAGTGGGCGTGCCCCATTGGGTGGGTGTGGCTGCAGTGGTAACGGCAGACTGGGACTAGAAAGTTCAATCAATCAGTTCCAACTTTGCAAGATCTTTTTTTTCACGCGAGAAGTTGAAATTGACTGGTTGAAACTTTTTTTTTTTTTGCACACGGCAAAAGGTTTTATAAAACCCAGCTGAAGGCCTAGGACTGGGGCGACAGCGCATGTGCCCACAGAGAGGGTTCTGAGTGCCGCCTCTGGCACCCGTGCCATAGGTTCGCCACCACTGATCTAGTGGTTTTTTTAATTTCTCCAACCCAAATCTGACAGACCAGTCTTTTTAAACCTTACCAACTAAAATGTTGGCTGAGGAATTCTGGGAGCTGAAGATTGCAGTTCTTAAAGTTGGTGAGGATGAGAAATACTGTGGTACTCTAGACCCCACATATGAAATTGTTCAGCAACAGAAACAGCGATAGAAACAGTAATCTAACGTTGCCCTCTGGTGGCTAACCTATGGAATTTCTTACAACATACAGCTTTTCTTCCATCAAATAATTTTTCATCTTTAAATGCTAATGTTTTACCATCATGGCAAACAAACACAGCTGCCTTTTAGATGATACTTGTGTTGAATTGTATTGCCAAAGATGAATACTTGCTTGGAGGAACTGTCTTATCTACACTGTAATAAGAATTGCATAGCGTACATGAAACACTATGCACAAAGAGCAAGGCTATTTATTTCTGGCTTCTAATTATTGATGGTGATGTGTTTTTCTACCAGTAGCAGAATTACAAATTTGAGAGTGAAATTACAGATTGTCCTTGACTTACAATAGTTCATTTAGTGACTGTTCAAAGTTACAGTGGCACTGAAAAAAGTTACTTATGACCAGTTTTCACACTTTTATGACTGTTGCAGCATCTCCATGATCATGTGTTCAAAATTCGGTTGCTTAGCAACTGGTATTTATGATGGTTGCAGTGTCTCAGGATCATGTGATCAACTTTTGTGACCTTCTGACAAGCAAAGTGAATGGGGAAGCCAGATTCACTTAACAACCATGTTACTACCTTAACAACTGCAGTGATTCACTTAACAACTGTGGCAAAAAAGGATGAAAAATGGGGCAAAACTCACTTAACAACTGCCTCACTTAGCAACAGAAATTTTGGGCTTGATTGTGATCATAATTCGACGACTACCTGTACTATCGTGTGAGGTTTTTTGCAGATTTTCCATTGATTTCAGTTTATTATTGCAGGAGTAAAATTCTGGAACAGATGACCTGTATTTTGTGCTCAGAAATGCACACCTCTTCTGATATGCCAAAGCAAAGGACAAATGCATCAAAATCTCATGTTCAGCATAATTTATTTTCATGTCCCCTAGATCAGGGCTTTTCAACCGGTGGTACACATACCACCTGACAGGCGGTACACGACCATCCTAGAGAAATGGTAGCGGGGAGGAGAGGAATGAGCTGAAGTGGCGGCAGCATCTCACAAGCCTGAGGGAGAGACAGCTGGAGCTGCAGGGCTGTCGGGGCTTGGCAGAAGCCCCAGGATCTGCATAAGTGGCTACAAGCTGATTGGCACTTCTGCAGGGCTGTCAGGGCTCAGCAGAAGCCCCAGGATCAGCACCGGGCTCCATCTGATTGGCGCTTCCGAAAGTAGCGTGTAGTTGGAGGTGCACAGAAAAGGAGGGGGGAGAGAGGAAAGGATATAAAAAGAGGAGGTTTTGGCAGGAAAGGGCCAGCGTGGGGCTGCCCCCACCCCGCTCCCTGGTATCCATCCCTGCTGACAGCTCAGAAAGACAGAGACAAGCCCAGGCCGACCAGGTGCTGATTTACAACCTCATAGCTACCATCAAAGCCAGAACATGCTCAGCCTTAGATCTATGGAGCAGCCTTGGAACCAGCGACAGGCTGCCTCGCTGCCTCAGCCCCGCCCCCGCCCCATCCCCTGGGCATGTGCACAGGAGGTAGCAGTGAGCACACGGAGTCCAGTGTCCCTGGGGATTGCGCTCTGAGCAATTTGCAGGTTCATTTTTTTAAGCTGCCAAAAGCTCCGGGCAGGAGGCTTCCCATTTTGACCCCTCCCCCCGTCATTGCCTCTGTGCCTGAAGGGCCTCTGCATGGCTCTCAGCTCATCTCTCCCATACCCGTGCATGTGTTTGTTTGTGTGTGTGTGTGTGTGTGTGTGTGTGTGTGGTATGCATATGGGGGGTCTCAATCCTTGCAGCCCCATTCTGTGACATTGGGGAAGGAACGAAC